CTTAATAATTAGAATAGGGTTCCTTTAAAGGGATCCTTAAGAATAGGGTTCAGGGTTAAGGGTTTAGGGTTTAGGGTTCAGGGTTTAGGGTTTAAGGTTTAGGGTTTAGGGGTTTACGGTTTAGGGTTAGGGTTTTTTGGGGTTCGTTTAAAGGGTTCCTTAGAGGGTTCTATAAGGGCTACTATATAGTCTTAGGGTTTAGGGGCCTTAATTATTAGAATAGGGTATTGGGGGCTCCTTGTTATAATTATTGTATACTATTCCCCAAAACCCCAGTTCTAAGTATTAAGGCCCCTAAATCAGAACACGGCTTAGGGTTTAGGGTGCGGAGTTTAGGGTTGTGTAGGGCTTCGAATTTAGATTCTAGAGAGTTGTTTCGGATTTTGAGCTTTGGGTATTGGAATTAGGTTTCAGGCTTAATTCAGGCATGATTGAACTTTAGAGTTTCGCGCTTTCGGGCTTTAGCCATTCCTTCCCTTAAGGAACCCTTTCAAAGAGGCCCCTGTAACGGAATGTCTTATAATACCTCAGTTACCCATATATTTCGCAACGAGAAGGCTTGGGGAGAAATATTACAGCACATTCAGACCCCGGTATATGGAGACCTGATCCGTTATTTATTCTTTCGCGATGCCTATTATGTTTAAAACGCCAAAACAGAACCCCTGCAGTGACCCTTACCGGACTCTTTTGGAGGAACCCTAGTCTAATTATTCAGGCCCTTGTGCTACGTAGGCCTTGCCCGGGAGCTTCTATGGGGATGTGTTCTCTCTGCTGAGCTGCCGTCGCTCGCTTGCTCCCTGCGGGAAAAAGCGTTTAGGCTTCAGTGCTCTTCAAAAGCGTGTAGGGCCGGATAAGGGTTCAGGGTTTTTGTTGGCGCTCGTTTAGGGCTTAGGGACCCAAGCCTTATGAGGAAGCTTGCGCATTGTCCAATGGTCATCCTCGGACCTATGACAAATCTGCAGAACGAGTCCAATCTGCCATGACTTCCGGTTTAGGGTTCGGGGTTTAGGGTTTAGGGTTTCGGGTTTAGGGTTTGGGGTTTGGGGTTTCGGGTTTAGGGGTTTGGAGCCAAAACTGACTGCGACAGCGGTACACATAGCGATCCGCGTAATCATCACCATCACTATGATCATCATCAGAACTTGGAACCTACTACGTTATTACATTCGATGAAGTGACTTCGGCAGTGAGAGCGCCAAAAACGACAATCATGATTGCGAGAGTAGCAACAATGGGATGAACGGCTGGCAGCTCCTGCCCGAGGATAGCTCATGTCACGAACACGCAAGGCAGACCATAGTGTATTGTGTGGATACTAGCTAGATGATCCAGATTCAGATGAGAGAGCTATGACTAGCATGCTACCACTCCTGTCTTACTGGCTCAAGTTCTTCGAAGAACAGCTGTGTCTCAGCATGTCGCACTAGACATCGCCGCAGCTTGTAAAGAACTGTTGGTTCGGGCCGTGATCGGGCAAGCAGGTCATGCGACAGCCGTTTTCACGTTCCCCACAGTCTTCTAGCGCATTCCAGAAGCCCACACAGCGTTATTGCCCTCCTTTTCGTTCCCGTTGTTGTTATCTAGTGATGTTTTTCGGTTGTAAGTGTTGTTTGATGGTCAGCAGTTATCCACCATGACCCCTTTCGATTATTGGCAAGTCCTGTTTAGAAGCGCTGGAACTAGGTACCGAATCGGGTTTTGGCCCAAATTGTCCGTCTAGGACCTCAAACTCGTGCACCCTATAAGCCTGGTCAGCATTTAGAACATAGAGTTTAGGTTTTGGGTGATCTCGGATTCGATTCGAGAACTTCTCAAGATCGGCCGTTGCAAGCAGATCCCTGCCGATGGCGCTGGCAAAGCGTACCGGCACGAGCGCGAGGACAGTCCTCCAAGCCCCCGAGGCATATGGGTGGTTGTCAAAATTATGGTCCCTTTTGGGGTCCTTATTATCATACGGCTGTCAAAATTATGGTCCCTTTTGGGGTCCTTATCATAATACGGCACCTATTATTTAGGGTACCCCAAAAGGGACCATAGTTTTTGACAACTACCCATATAAGTCCGAAGGCCTCAGTCACTAAACCTGAAGACTGAAGGCGGCCACACCGTAAAGGGTTTAGGGTTTAGGGTTTAGGGTTTAGGGTTTAGGGTTTAGGGTAGCCCGAAGCAGAGTCGTGCAAGTTCTGAGTCGTGCAGGCTGCCATGAAGCAAGAGATGTACGAAAGCATGGATAACAATGCCAAGCCCTAGCCTATGCCTTCATGACACAGCCCTGAAGCCATGCGCTGATTCTGTACACGATTGTATGCGCATGGAAATATCAAGAACGTTGCTGTTGCAGGTTTCAAGAAGCAGAAGCGTGTAGAGAATTTCAATGCTGGTCGTGCTTCGAGCCGAATGAATCAGTTATATAAACATGAAATCTGGGGCCTGTACGGGGGTCGGAATCATTTGTAAGAACATCTGCCTGCGTGAAGTCTCTGCAATATCCGAGGGTTGTAGCGCAGATCTCCTCAGTTTGCCTGTCGCGCGCGCGCGCGTGAATTGCACTGGCCTGTGCCTTGCGATTCGAAGTATTTTTTTTTAAACAGCGCTTTGGCAACGCGGCGCATCGCTGGAAGCAACGAGACGGTCATTATCATAATTATGGTATAATATACCCCCCAAACCCTATTCAACAATTTTAAGGCCCCTACATTACCGCGTGGAGGTTTATCTTGACTGTACCGTAGGCAAGACTGCAAGCATCCCTGGTGTGTGGAGTTGGTTCACAGGTGGCTTAAGCCCAGGCGTCTGTTCTTCTAGGAATGCTCGTGATGGCCGAGACGAGAGCATCGTCGGCGATTGCAGTGCCGATAGCTCCTCTGGCAAGGTTTGACTGTGTGTCGGTTTCGCCGCCTGACATTAGTTAATCTCTATAAGCCCTATAAACTCTGAACCTCTACACGCCTTAAACCGCTGCAATCACCTGAACCCGAAAGCAGGAGCCTTCGCGTGCGACTGCAACTGGCGGCCGAGTCTGATGGCGAGCTCCTCTGCAGGTAGCCGTCGATCCCCAATTCCGGGGTTAAGTTTGGGGTTTAGGGTTCATAGGGTTTTGGGTTTACAGGGTTTAGGGTCTTTGGGGTTTTTAGAGTTTTAGGGTTTTTAGGGTTCAGGGTTTAAACTGTATAGGGCCTATGGTGTTTAGGGTTTAGGGTTTAAAGTTTGTAGGGTTTATAGGGTTTAGAGTTTGGGGTTAAGGTTTAGGGTTTGGGGTGTGGAGTAGAATCCCAATCCTTCCATCCCGACCATACCATGACTCCCAAACCCAAGCCCCAAAGCATTGTAGTACTTGGTACGTATACTACTGTATACAATAAGATACTACAAAAAAGGTAATAGACTATATTATACTATAACATACTATAATAGACTATATAATATACGACGATGTACTAAAATGTACCTTTGTTGCATTATTCATCTGTCGGCGCACTGGATGTACTTCTGAAGCTACAGTGGTAGAACGAGGACTTGGGGTATCTAACACTATATTAACGTTGGGGACTATAAAGAGCTGTTAGAATTGCAACATCAGCATTCTAGCATTGTTCAATCTCCATGTTTGGTGTCAATTCAGAAAAGGAAGGCCACGATGTTGCATTTTTTGGCCGGGTATCTTCATGATTGCAGGGAATCCCTTGGTTGCCGGAGGGCGCAAGCCTCAAAACCAAGTTCACAACCTGCAAACAGTCGCCCCTACTGCTGATGCAAGGTCACGTGGTTTGATTCACTAAAACCATGAATCAGCCTGATCTGTGTGCAGGAAAGTTGTCATGGTGGTGCCAGAAGGCGGAGCATTTCGTGAGCTTTGGTTTCCACGCCACATGTCCTTACATGTCCTTAAGTCCTGAAGGATTCGAAACCCTAACCCCTACACCCCTAAACCCTAAACCCTTAACATGTAAACCGCTTGTCTAAGTTCAGGACCAGTTGGGCAGGTCTCAACGGCTCCAGTAACCATTAGTCAGAAAAGACTCATGAAGTTTACGAAGTTTGGGGTTTAGGGTTTAGGGTTCAGTGATCCTTACTACGGCATCATGCGTTTTAGCGTTTGAGACCTGTTAGACGCCTCTGCGTTCGACCCAACAGCCCAAAACCCTGAATGCCCTCTGCTCCATTGGTGCGGCGTTTAAGGTTTAGGATTTGCTTGAGTTTTGTGGTTCCTTTAGGTTAGGGTTTAGGGTGCAGTGGTTTAGAGGTTCGGGTTTAGGGTTTAGGGTTTAGGGTTTAGGGTATGTGTCACAATGGTAGTTGAAGTTTAAGGTTTACGGTCTAAGGCGGGAAGTGAGTGCTCGTACACTTCTGGCTTTGCCGAGAAGGTGCACTTTGTTCGTTTCGCCGTGGTTTTAAACGCTTTAAGAGTCGCCTATAATTTTCTTATATTGTAGTTTATGGCAATACAGTATAAATACCCTAAACCCTAACCCCTAAACCCTAAACCCTAAACCCTAAACCCTAAACCCTAAAACCCTTAACCCTAAACCCCTAATCCCTAAACATCATAGTAAGGCCACAGGGCGCAAGTGTCGCCGAGCCTCGTAGGTGTGTGTCCGACTTTTCGGTTTTCTGGCATGGCCAAGCTTCGGGGTAATATGCTAGACGAGTGTTTCTAGAAATGCACCTAAACCCCTGAACCCTGAACCCCTAAACCCTAAATCCTAAACCCTAAATCCTAAACCCTAAATCCTAAACCCTACACCTTTAGGGAATATTAGTCTAGGTTTTAGGCTTTGCTCAGCTCCAGCCAGTCAGGAAGGAACTTGATGCTTCGATTGCTGGAAACATTTTTTGTTCGTGCCAGGATTGAGTCTGGTGTCCGACTTCCTGCATTACATCTACGGCGACTCAGCTCAACGGGTTTAGGGTCAAGGTTTCGGGTTTAGGCTCTAGACTTGCATTGATGCACGCAATCGTTGCAATCCAATGCAAGATGCAGCTTCAGCCGAAATGCTCTTCAGACCCGAAGCATTCCAGACAGCAGCCACTAACAAATCCCGTTTGGGTTTTGCGAGAGCTGGAGGGGTCACTGCACAGGCCTGATAGTCAGCAAGAGATTCCTCTGAGGCTACTTCAGGCTGCAGCCAACGCAGCCCTTGGCAATGTCCATTGAAGGCGCGCTACGGGCCCTGATCGCAAACATGAAAGCGGCACAATCGAAAATCGCTCATTTGTCACATTCCGTCCAGCTTAGTCTATCGAGTTGCTTGCTTCCTGAGCCAAGACTGTCACCGTTACTGTTTTATCATCCACTTACCCAGGCACCGAGTAGGTGATGTGACCCCTACGAAGTTGGACTAGATCCCCGGACTCTACCGACCATAGGATCTAAACTCCCAGGCCCTGCACGTAAACCACCCACGATACTTACGGCTAGTTATAGGTGGGGTCAGAAGTATAGTTACCCTGCATATAGCTCCATTTATAACTTATAACTAGCCATGAACCTCCACGTATGCCCTGCACTGTTCAATGTCTGCCGTGGGCCTGCAGCTGGCAGTTGTACACTCTCGGCCAAAGTCCTCGCTGCTTCTTCAGTGCTTAATGTTGGGCTTAGCTGTTTGATCAGGTTATGAGTTATCAGCATGAGTTCCTGGACGGCGGGTATTTCGTAGAGGAACATGCGCCGGGCTTCCAGCCATGGTGGTGAGAGTTTCGCGAAAAGCGCACGACACAAACAGTAGTATATCCGGCTCTGACAAAAGACAACCTTTTTTTGCCAAGTCCAACCCTGGTGGAACCCAAAGCAAACCTTGTCGACACCCATAAACAGGTTTACGCAACACCGAGCCCCGCGAAGCTCGAAGCGAGACCCTCTGCCCGGCCCAAGAACTTGCTCACAAAGCCAACCTGCGCCCCCGAACCTCGATTCCAAGATTTCCATTCCTGAAGCTAGCTAAGTCCCTGCATATTCAACAAGTACAATCTACTGCCTATCCGCCCACCCCAAGCGATAATGACCCTAACTCCATAACCCTAAAGCCTGCATAGTGTGCCCACCCTAAACCTGAAACGTCACTGCCGCACGAAGCATGCAATGATGACAAGGTTTCGGTCTCCTTCCAGCCCAGTGCCTTGAGGCATCGCTGAGGGCGTTTCAAAAACATTCGCCCTGCTTGGAGTTTCATGGGGACTTATACGTGGGGTCATAAGTTCCCTATTGTGGGTTACAATGATAGTTACCCTACTTCACAACCCCAAGTATGGCTACCCACTATAACCTCCAAGTAGATGCAGAATTGTTTTCATTGCATTAGGTTTAGGATGAACGATTTGGGGTTTGGGATCTCGGAGGTGACCCTAAAGCCTAAGTCCTTGAAGTTCCAAAGGCCCTGGACACTAACGCTTTCGACAACTTGGAGCCCCACCCGATCCTGTGCCCCGACATCCCAAACCAAAACCGGGTTTAGGGTATTTAGGGTTTGTACGTCCTAAACCAAAATTACTGTAAGCCTAAGCACTAGAAGGCTCATTGACCTCAAACGATTTGGGGGTCTGAACTCAGGGTTTCAAGGCTTTTAGGAGGACCAAGAGGGAATGAAGATGAAGAATCTACTTGTGCCGGTTTAGGGCTTATAGGATGCCAGGCAATGGCCGTCGTAAGATCTGGGGTCGACTCTGGCGCAAGATTCGTGGCACCAGCTGCAAGACATGTGTCGCCAATCTGCGACATCTCATAGGTTTCTTGTACCACTAGCAAGTACGAGGCCCTATCTGCCCCCATCCGAAACTCTCAGCCCTCCAAAACCACCAATTGCACCCCAAAGCCTAAACCCTAAAGCTCGAACCTGCCCAGGCTGAACCCTCCAACACCAAAAAATCTTTAAACCCCTAAACCCGAGACCCTAAACCCTAAACCCCAGATCCCTAGAACCCTACACCTCTAAACCCCTTAACTCTAAAACCCTAAACCCCTGAACCCCTAAACCCTAGAACCCTATACAGCCCTAGACTCCTAGACGCGCAGGATGTCCTCCGCGATGGTGACTTAGTTTGGGTCCGACCTGCGCAGACGCAGAGGCCAGAGCCGGGTCTTTGGACCAAGGGCCCGGGCTGCCGGAAGGGGTTCAGGGTTTAGGGTTCATAGTTCAGGGTTTAGGGTTCAGGGTTGAGGGTTCAGGGTTCAGGGTTTAAGGTTCAGGCTTCAGGATTTAGGGTTTAGGGTTCAGGGTCCGTTCAGGGTTGAGGGTTCAGGGTTTAGGGTTCAGGCTTCAGGGTTGAGGGTTGAGGGTTTAGTAATTTAGGCTTCAGGGTTCAGGGTTTAGGGTTCAGGGTTTAGGGCTTAAATTTCCAGGGTTTAGGGTTCAGGGTTTAGGGTTGAGGGTTTACCCTAGACCCTAGAAAACCTACGTCTGCGTTGTCTCTTTATTGTCATTTCCTTTTGTAGGTCCTGTAGTTAAAACCTAGGTTATCTGGGGGTAAGGTGGGGCTAGGATCTGAAACGTAGAACCCCCTAGGCATGGCGAATGCAACCCGTCTTGTGGTAGGGAGTCGGCAAGGCGGTTCTATCTCGGGGATCTTTGAAGGAAGCCCTAAACCCCAAACCCTAAACAAAAAACCTTTAAGGGGTCTGGGGTCAACTTCCAAGGAAACCCTACGCACAGCGGCCTGAAAATTGAAAATGGTGGCATCACAGATACAAGACAAGCGCAGCATGAATAAGACGAGTTGGAATCACAAGAAGGCGAGGAGGAAGCAGAGGCATCGGAGGTTCCGCCTCGGGCTTCAAGCTCAGGGTTCACAGTGTGCTCGTTCCCAGTTTGGCCCGACATCCCAAGCTTGTTCCAAACCCTCAAACATCCTCAGACAACAGTCCTGGACCTCAGAGGGCGTACACCCGACATCTTTCCACCCTTCTTCAAAGTCTAGAATACAAGCGCATGGCCCTAAATTCACCATCTGATAACCCCAAGCTCCTCTAACTAACCCAAGACTTTTGCGTCCAACCTTGACTAGCCGCTGGCACTCAACAAGGAGTGCAGGGCACTTCAATGCAACCTCAAGGAAATGAACCCAAGCAGCAGCCACAGCAGCAGAATGCCCTATTCCTCTAAACCCGAAACCCCATTGCAGAGGACCTGCGTAGAACACTGCCGGAATCTGCCCTAGTCCCACACAGTGCTGAAGGTTGGTAACGATGCAAAACCAGACACTACGTCTTCTTGAGACACGCCCTACACCCACTATAGGGGCCGGATAGAAAACTTGATTTTTTTTGGGCATATTGTATTCTATAATTGCCAATACCACTTTGATGACGGAACATGCCTTAGAACACAAGGGCTTCACATCATGATTTAGCTTATACTAACTTATACTCCGTCCCTAAACCCCCTAAACCCTAAACCCTAAGCCCCTGTTTACGGAGCTTTGGGCTCCCTGGGGAGGCGAGGGCCTTGCAAGCGCCGCGCGCTGACGAACGGCCCAGCCCTTCTGGCCTTGCCAGAGGCAACGTGTGTGGATTGGATTTAGGATTTAGGGTTTAGGGTTTAGGGTTTAGGGTTTGTGGTTTGGGGTTTAGGGAATACCTACCCCCGAAAGTAGGTTAATTAGATTTAGGGTTTAGGGATTACTACTTACCCCCGAAAGTAGGTAAATAATAGCACAAGACCTAGACAAGGCTCTTAGTCTACATGCTGTTGGGGTCCAGTTAGGGTTTGGAGTTTAGGGTGCTGGGGTTTAGGGACACCCTAAACCTTAAACACTTATAAAC